GGCCTTCGGCTCAGGTCATGATCCTGGAGTCCCAGGATCGAGTCCCACATCGGGCTCCCTGCTCAGCAGGGAGTCTGCTTCTCCCTCTGACCTTCTTCCCTCTCATGCTATCTCTCATTCTCTCTCTCTCAAATAAATAAAATCTTAAAAAAAAAGTCTGTGCAAAGATTTGATCCATATTCAAAGTGCAAGTGTTTGTGAACAGCTCTTGCCTATTATTAAACAGAAAAAAAAAAAATCTAAATATCACTCCCAGTTTAATGGACCCAAGCCTAAATTCTCCACTAAACAATTCAAGAAGAAAACATAGGACTTCACACTGACATCTTGGTCAGAAGAAAAGTTGCCAGGTTTTGCTTCCAAATCAAAGGGGTTAAAAAGTCCAATAATGTATTTAATGATTATTTCTATTTTCATTTAGAATTTTTTTGATATCAAAGTTAAAATATCAACTCCAGTGGCATATATTTTGAGTTATGATAGAGGCATACTCCATATATTAATAAAATAAAATACCTTTGATCATATTTCTGCAGTTGATTTTTCTTAAATCTGACATACTTTACACTCATCTACTTGAATTGCTTGGTCACTGGGATATGGCTTTAGAACTCCTGTTTTATACTTTATGATTTTATATGAAAACAATCATAATTTAACCAGAAAAATGAAGATATGAAAGAAATATATGAAAGCATGATCAACTGACAAGTGACTGGAACTGAATAGAATGCACCATTACAATGGAGGGAGTATGATTCTATAGTCTCAAGACACAGTATAGTGTAGTCCTGAGGATCTTGGGCTGTAAGCCAAACTGTCTAGGTTCCAATCTGAACTTCTTACGTGAAGTGAGACAGTAAACTAACCCTTCTAACATTTTGGCTATAAAATGGGGATAATAATAGGACCAACACCATAGAGGTGGTAGTTTAATAGATTGGAAAAGTGTCTGACACATACAAAAGCACCCAACAAGTGTTTGCTATTTGTTTTCTTTTAAAGAATGATTTTTCTGATCTGGCTCAAAAAATATAATTAGAATTAAAGGATAGAATGAGGCAAGCATATGGATGGAGAGAGGGAAATAAGAGGTGCTTTTATTCATAGTGGAGAATAAGGTATATATAGAAGTTGAGGCTCCAGGAGTCTCTGTGTTCTGTGAGAAAGAAAGGTTGGATTTTATTCTTTCTTCACTTGTGTGCATCACTGAGGATTTCTGGGCAGGAAAAAAAGGAATGGTTACAGTGATGTTTTAAGAAGATAATTCCTAAAAACGTTCCATGCTCATGGATTGGAAGAACAAACATTGTGAAGATGTCAATGCTACCTAGAGCAATCTACACATTCAATGCAATCCCCATCA